CAGTAATTTTATGCACCTAGGTAGTAGTTATTCCTGTAAGAATTGTATGCACTTTTCTTGTAAATGCAAAGTAGATGTGTATTTTTGAATGGTGAATCTCTAGACTTGCACTAATACCACTGATAGCTTGGGGCTGCCATTCCATACCTGACAAAAAAAAATACCTGACAAAAAAACAGCTCTGCCTCAAAGTGCAACAATAAAAAACCTTGATCCTATTTACATTATGAATACCTGTTCCTACCAAGCAGCATATAACTGTAACTAGAAGTCTTGGAAATTCAAAAGAAATAATAACTTCTGAAATCATAAGCTATCTGCTGAAATGATCTGGATAACATTCAAGATGGGAGGGAACCCTCCTCCTTGGGTATGCTAGGATGCTATTACTGTTTTTGTTGTTGTTGTTATTAAGTAATGAGGTACTCTGAATAGAAGCTCTCTGACCTAATGACTTATTTCAAAACCAAAGTTTTTTTGTAGACTGAGTATCACAGGAAAACAATCTCTAGCCAGGCTTTAAAGCAAAGATTAGTTATTCCAGTATACTATTTAACATGAGATAATGGTTTGTGCTACCTTGAAATGTCAGGTGACAAAAAAATCAAGGCAGGAAGCTCAAAGCCTCAAGTACATTCCAATCTTACTTCTTTTTATTGAGATACAGGGTAATTCATGTGTATCCTCAGTACTTAGGATATACCAATGCATACATTAAGTATCTGTGGTTAAGAGAACAGAAATTTTGCAGTTTGATTTAGCCTACCCTTACAGAAGCTACACATACTTCCAGGGGTTAATTTGTGTTCTATGAGGTAGCCCAAAATACTTGATTGATTATAAAGCAATTTTTAAAATATACTATTCTGAACATCTGTATTACAATGGGTTCATATTTACCACATGCCAATCTGTGTTATGAAAATTCTGAACACTCGTTGCTAGAAGAGAGGAATTTTTGCCCAGTATGACTAGTGTTCTTTAGAGAGGGATAGAAGTGTAATAAGTATGTTTGTGGCATTTTTCTTTGTAACATCATGGTTATGTCCTCTCCTCTAGCCCCTAAGGGGCACAAAAGTTCCCAAGAGTCATGAGCTGGTCGTTAGGTCATATCAGGCCTGACCACCATTCAGAAGCAGTTTGCTTGGTTCTATTGATTTGTTACTGATCTGATGCAGATCTGACATGGCCTGTGTAGTTAAGGAGGATTGCTGCGCACATTAGCGCAGTAATATGAAAAATGGTGACACGCTGATTGCAGCCTTTGTGGTCTAATGATGCTCTCAGCACATAAATTCTTGAGAGGTGTTACAAAGTATAATTGGAGGAAATTAATGTGTTTTCAAGCGTCAAAACTCAAGGCCACTTAGTTATCAGTAACACAAGGGAATAAAAAACAGGAGGCAAAACAAGTATCTCCAATATGGGTACCAGGAGATAAATGGAAGAGTTGCTACAGGTGAAGACAAAAAGACTGCATGTGTGAAAGATGTTTCAAAAGCTGTCAGGGCATCTCAACTCTACTGCTGCAACTTTCATAACCAGTTCCATCTAAACCTTTCCCTTCCGCTCAGGTGTTTCAGCTCATCTTTTCACTGAGGAATGATTTTTTCTTTTTTTTTCCCTTTCGGAAATAGCAAAGAAAATACTTGTGTCAAGATCATGAGTACGTTACATAAAGGGGAGGAGGAGCCAAGACAAGGGAAGCAAAGGTGTGACAAAACATGTTATATTAGAAGCAGAGCAGAGGGAGCATGGAAGGGGAGAAGGGTGGGGTCTGCGCAGTGGCCGTTCTCGCAAGGGAGTTGGAACAGGCTGTCTGGGCAACGGCACCTCGTAGGGCCGTGGCTGCCAGAGACAGGCGCCGGCAGCTGGGCCGGGCCTGGCCCCGGGCGGCGTGCGCCGAAAGATCCGCTCGCCGCAGGGCCGGGAAGCCCTAATGCGGGGCTCCTCCGGCCTAGTTCCTCGTTGGCCGACTTGCCTTGTCGCCCTTCTCCTCCTCCTCCCGCGGCTTCCTGCAGCCGCGGCCGCCTCTCCTCGCACGCACCGCTCCCCCGCCCGCCGCTTCCCGTTCCCCCGTGCCCGGGCGACCCTCCTCGGCGGGGCGGGATGTAGCGCCGCAGCCCCGCCGGGCCACCTCTCCTCGGGGCGCGGCACCCCGGCAGCCCCCCGGCACCGCCGCCGGCGTCGCCGCAGTGCTTTCGGTTCCGGCATGTCCCGTTCCCGGCCGCCGTGCCTTACCGCGGGTGCGCCAGTCTCCTCCGTCCTGCCGCCTCCCCCGGAGGGCCCGGCAGCGGGCTCCGCCCTCGCCGCCCCCTGCGGAGCGCCCCTGCCCCGCGGCAGCGGGAGGGGGGCCCGACCCGGCCCGCGCCTTCTCGGAGCACGGGAGGTGCCTGGGCTCGCCCGAGGGCACCGCGGAGCTGCCGCTGCTCCGGATGCTGTGCAGTCACTCGGGTCGTGCGACGCAACGCGCGCCCTCCCACCGGGAGAGAAGGGCGCGAGCCCTGCCCGTCCTAGCGCCGCCGCCTGGGTGAGCCCGGTGCGCAGTGTGAATGGTGACAACCTGGCCACGGTACCGAGCCCGACAGCAGCTGGGTGCGTGTCGGAAACGCCTTTCGGTGTTGAGGATTTGGTGCTGAAGATGTGTGTGTGTGGGTTTGTTCGGGAAGAGTGGAGGCAGGAGTTTGTCAACAGGGTAACTGTAACACGTGCCAGTCCGGAGGACAGCTGGCGGAAGTAGATAACCTAAAAGGACCGACAAATACCGTCTAGTCCATTCTCCTCGGGAGGTCGGGTATGTTGCTAACACAGGTGCTTTACATAAGACCGATGGCTTTGCTATTCTTCCAGTGAAATGAAGGTGATGATAAGAAGTGTCTACCCTCTTTGCCGTGATCTTTCCCATTGTGGGCAACTGTTTCACGGCTCAGTATTACCAGGCACTACCAGAAAAACAGCAGATCAGTCTGGGACAGTGATAGCAGCCCACAAATTGTGTCCTTCATTTCTCCCTGTGATGGTCAGCAATGTAGTATCTGAACTCCTAAACCATCCATGTACCCCCATCTGCTCTTCTAGGAGAAGACATGGTCTGTTTTTTGTTTTCTGGTGGCCAGCACGTGCATTTGCCAGGGGCAGGGGACTCCTGCCTGTCAGCTTCCTGAAATGTGTCTTTTTGGAAAGACAGAAAGGACACAGTTGGATGTGGGCAGCTGTGGTTTTGGAGAGGTAGAATAACCTTGGTGATCACTTTCAAGATGAAGATTTCTCTCTCAGTATCGAGACTGCACTGTGTTGGACAAACTTAATAAATGGCTTCTATTCAAGATCTCTCAAAAAAAAAAAAAAAAAGCTGAGTGCAATTGTTTCCCCTCAAAAAGAAAAAAAAAGTTAGCAGTGGAACTGGCACATGCCCTGTTTTCCACTGATTCTTGATCAGCTGCTATTGAGACAGGAGTTTAATGCTCCAACAGCTCCAGATGCAAGGGCTGATCACACCTACTGTAATGAGGAGACTCAGGATGGAATCCCAGATTGCCAAACTAAGCTCATTGCAGTTTGTATACAGCCATTTCATGTACATTCATGTTATAGGTAAATAAACCAAATCAAAATATAGCAGCAAAATTTATTATAAGATTTATATAAAGCGCAGATAAGCAAATCAGCGCGCTGGGTGGCCTGGAGAGACCCCTGCTCTTCCTAACGGCCCACAAGCTCAATAAAGACAAACAGTAACTTTTATACTTTTTCAACTCCCCTCCCATAGTCACTTGTTAGCTTTTCATTGGGCTTGAGTTCGCGGGCTTCGTTCTGGTTGGTTCTGTTGCAGGCCCATTTTAATTGCCAGGTACTTCCCAGCAGTAGTTTTAATTAGCTCAAATGTCCTTGGAGCTGGGTATGAATATGGTGTCCAGATGTTCTCCTTGGCTCTTCTTTATCATTTTTATCCTTGACTCCTTGATCCTTGTTCTCTTCTTCTTTTCTAATGAGTACACTTAGACAATATTTTTAGAAAAGCAGGATATAGTATACGTGCTCAATAAAGCAAAATACTTTATCTTTGCCAACTAGGGAACTGCCAGTTGCAGGACAGTCAACTTATAATAGTAACACAGCAGTTAACTATTCCGCAGCTTACAACTCCCCAGTCCCAACAAAGCATTGGCTATAATATATGAAAAGTACAATATATATATATTTTGACGAGTAAATTTTACCGTTGTTCACTCATTACATTCACACTGTGAGGTATCACAAGGAGAGTGTTACTGAACCTGCAGTCCAGAGACACTGGGACATTTGTCAGCTAAATAAAGCAAATGCAAATATGGATGTGGTATCTCTGGTGGGCCAATCGTGCAGCTTTGGTCTTTTGCAATCCCAAACATTACAGAAATCTTTTGATAACATTTAACTTCTGAGGGTTTTTTTCCTTCTTTTGGTTTCGCTTGGTTTTTCTGCTTTTGAGCTTTGCATTGTGTATGGGGCTGAAGGCAGGGAGAAAGATAGCTGAATTTTTAAGAATTGTGTGGTTAAAGAGTTTGCATTCTCATTCAGTGGTGTTTTGCCAAGCAGCAAAAAGAGGCAAAAAAAGACAAATTGGCATTTATTTGTTGGTGTTTAGAGGTCAGTGCTGCCAGTTATGATATTCTCTCTTTAAATGAATAGGGAAAATAAACTGAACCAGAAATGCAATCTGAATTTACAGAGAAATCTCTTAATTCTGATTGAGAAGAAAGGAAGGTTATCTTGAAATGGACAATAAGGTCAATACATTTTTAGTGCTTTTCACAATAATGCATTTACATGAGCAGAAGTCTTCAATTTTAGTATTAATGAAAATTAAATAAGGCCATTAGTTCTCTTTTTACTTTAACTGAAACTTGCACTAATCTCAACAGAACTTTTACATACTTTGTACTAAAAATCTCAGCCATCTTATTAAAACTTATAGTAAAGAAAATATAAATACATAAAATGCTCACAAAACCCCCAGGTGTTTGACATATAGCTGATTTTATTGCCAGCAGGATGAAACTTGCAGGTTTCATTGCATTACTGGAAAAACTGTAGGGTCTTCTGTCACCTTTACTGAGTTTTCTAAAGAGATCTGAAGAGAAAAAGATTTTGAAGGGCTCTGGAATAATGATTGAGTGGGCAATGAGACAGAAAGTGAAGTTCAGGTTATTAAAGGGGTACACATGAGAAAAAAATTTACCCTAAATTGATGTATAAAATAATGGGCCTTGAGCTGATCATTACCACTGTTGGCTAAGTTGTAGAGTTACAAGAGATGGAAACATTAGCTAAAGCAAACCGTGTTTCAGAGATGATTATAAAAGGAGCAAAGAAAGTCATGGAGTTGACTCTGCATGTACCTCTGGTCCCCTCTTTTCAGTAATGGGATAGTGAGACTGGAGGTGTTCAGAGAAGAACAACAAGGGTGACCAAAGGCCAATGACTTCTCTTGGAAGAACAACTGAGCAGGACAGGACTCCTTGGCCTAAGAAGGAGATTATTTAGGAGTGGAGGTGATGCACGTGTACAAAACTCTGAGCAGTGTGTAAAAGAACAGATGGGACTGATCATTACTGTTGATTGGGAGGAACCAAACAAAGCTACTGGGAACCAGGTGCTTCACCCTCCCAGGGGTCCCTCCCCACTCCAATGCTTCATGCAAGGAAAAACTCACCTGCTGAACTTAGCCAAAATATATTGGCTGCTTCAAGTTGACATGAACTCAAGAGAATGCTAAACAAAATTCAGAACAGAGATCTATTATTTGGCTTTGTAAATATAGAGAAAATGTATGTACCTCAGGAAATTCCCCAAACTAAATGTAGTTAGCACCCAGGTCAGTATTCATGGGAAGTGCTTGCTATTCCTGACCTATAACCACTGTGGAGAAAAAACTCAGGGCTGCAGGATCCTTGTTCAGACCTAGCACAGCCACCGTGGATACTTAGATTACATATATCCAGGCTAATACAAGCGCCTAACGCTACCATGTGTTTGGGATCTAGCATGTATCTGCCAAATAGTGTCAAGGAGTGTATCCTCAATATACAGGTCAGTCTGTATTAGATTCTTTATCTAACAGTTAAACCCACTAAGCTCTGCAATTGATCCAAAGCAGTAACATGGGGTTTGACACTTGCAACTTCTGCTTTCACTTCAATTTCCTTGTTTCTTGAACAGTCTAGTAACTGTAAACAGTGAACAGGAGGATGATTCCTCTCCTATGCAATTTCAATATTTGAATTTGTCCTCCACTTTCTCATCAGGTAAGTTGTTTACCTTAAGTCTTCTGGCATGAATCTGCTTTCTCCACAACTTAGATGTATAACACTTTCCCGCTTAATAACTTTCACTTTCCTTTTCCTGTAACAGAGCTATTGAGCCAAAGCAAATTTCCTGCTTGTGTAACCTAAAGACTTTGTCTCACACACTCTGAAGTAGACATTACAACAGCTTTGGGCAGCACTGCTTCCCAGGGAATGTCTCCGCAGGAGGTGGCAGAGACGGAGGAAGATGGAACAGGAACATGTGACTCTTTGCTTTGTGAATATGTGGAAAAGCACAAGGGTACCCACAAGGCTTTCCAGCTCTCAAAGTCACTGTGCAACTGTACATCCTTTTGCACTGCTCATGATCTGGCTTCATAGCTCAAAGGCACAAGGTAGAGCCCTCATGGCCACTCCTGCTCTTTTAAATGACAAGTGTGAGTAAGGGCAGCATATTCCCTGGACAATTAAAAAAAGTGGCAGCTGGTACAAACAGCGTTAAAATAACCTTGGCCATGTACTTTACAGTTTCACAGGCAGCAATGGTATAATCTCCCATTAAATACCACATGTCTTATCAATCACACTTAGGCAGGATAATATCACTGTTTATGTGAGCAAGGAGAGCTTCACAAAGAGTTTTGCACCCATCCTTAATGAGAATCCCTCAGGAATCAATGAAGATAAATGCTATATTTTCAGTTAAGCTGCTAGCTGCTGTATTCCAGATTCTTAAAATACATTTGAATTAGGAGATTAGCATTCAGGTATTTAGATAGAGCATCCAAAAGAATGGAGAAAAATGATCTTCTCTCTGTAGTCTTGTAGCTGAACACTACTTGAAATACCACTCAGGAGAGCAGTTTATGGGTTCTTCCTTCCAAAGAGTCTTCAGACGCTGGGTCCAGCCAGTCAGCATCTCCTTCCTCTTCTCCTCAGAGACATTCTCTGGAGCATAACAGATGTGAGGTTCAAGGACTTTGACACCACAGAAGTGCATGATTCCATGCTGGATGCAAAACAAAGAAAGAAATGCTTCAGGAAATAGTGATTCTTTCAATTGAAGAACATGCATGATTCAAATCTGAACCTGTTTCTCTGACCCAGGATCAGGCAGGTTCTGTAAATCTGTGCATTTATCAGAGAAGGGAAATAAATTGCTTTTACACCAACAGAACTCTTCTCTTTGGCTGCTGTACTCTGTTCAATGTGCAAGGATCAGAGACAGCCTAACTTTCATTGTCCTTGTTGAACTTCCTCAGATTGTTCCTGGACTGCAGTGTCTTTCACATCTACTTCCAAATTGGGGCTTTGGATTTTTTTTAACCTTTTCCCTCTGAATGAAGGCTACTGCCTGTGGAATCAACTCAGCTTGCCATTTTCCCTCTGCGTATTTCTGAATTCAGTGTCGTGCTTCACGTTTTTGTCACCTTTATTTGCGAGCTCTGGAGCTGGACAGCTCCTCAGGGGCAGGCATCCAGTAATTGCAAGGGGTAGGAGATCATGAGTGACTCCTCTCCTGCCCTGCATCCTACATCGAGTAACCCTGGGGAACAGAAATCCCACACCCTGGAGATAAAGGAAATCCTATAATACCAGAGAAACTGAAAAGGCTGACAGCATAAGCTGCCTCCAAATTCTAATCTGAAGGAAGGGGCACAAAACAGCTTTAAACCTTACTGGACTTTTAAAGTAGTCTTGAGATTTAAGGCCCAGTTTATAACCTGCAGATGCTTGGACCGGGCAACTTAAAAATTATTTCTTACTATACTTCATATGAAATAAACAATATAGGAATTGCTAAATATAATTTGGACAATAAATATTGAGATATACAACAATGAAATATTCATACATTATACCTGCATGGGCCACAGAACATAGCGAATATCACCACCGATACCTCCATTTGAATACATTTCTTTGTTTCCTCCAGTGGTGAAAGAAAACAGGGATAATTTGTCCTAGAATTAAGAAAGTGGTGCTTCAGTTAGACACTTTTAAAGAAGAGTGGCTGAACAATTCAAGAGATATTCAGGGAAACCTGGACAGCATAGATTTCTAGAAAAGGGGGTGTCCTCTTCTCTCCCAGACCTTACAAGAATTGGCAGTTCTGAGGCAAGGTTGACAGTTGACTGTGTGTCCGGGATTTGAGAAGACACAGGTTAAAAAAAAAAAAAAGAATTACATGTCTGACACCCTCTGCATTATTTCAAGACAGCAAAAAGTCAGAGCTTTAAACAACTGCAATGGAAAAGAAGGACCAATGCCCAGAAGAACATTGTGCAAACCTTGACCTTAATAATCTCAAAAACATACCTGGAGCAAACCACCGTCATAACTCTTGGACAAATCATAAGCAAAGCCTTGGACCAAGACTCTGTCCATCCAGCCCTTCAGGATCGCAGGCATGCTGAACCAAAACAAGGGAAACTAGGCAAAGAGGAAATTACCTGGTTAGCACAGAGAGTCTGGACCACCCTTAGACCTGGTTCACGGGCCAAATCCTATTCTCTGAGTCTGTTCAGATCTTGTACCTGCCTTCTTCCAGCTCTCTGTCAGGAGAGGCAGTAACTGTGCTTGGCAACAGGACCTGAAATGCTTTCTGATTGTAGGAGTCTCAGGGCCATACCTGAGCATCTACAGCACACTAACACTAGGGTGCATGTGAGAGCTTCCACCCAGATTAAAGATGGAAAATGATGAATCAGGAAAGTGCCATTTAATTCAACCTTAAGACTGTACAGAATCACTGTACAGAATCCTATGTGTGAAATGCAAAAGCAACAGATGATCTAATGGCTTATTAGCAAGACTGACATCAGGTGACCAGTTCTGATCTGACAGTCTGCTGACAAATGCTGGGGGATCTTAAGATAGACTTACTTTCACACCCTGCTGATATCATGACTCCAAATCTCTTTATTGAGAAGAAAACTACTGCTTTAACACTTGGACCCTTAGTGTATAGATCTTCCAGTTAGCCTGTGGGACTACATCCCAAAGCTATCATGTCTTAATTGCATTATCTTGAACGCTTTATGGACTGTTTTTCTAGGAAGCATCACTATAACTAAACCATTTTACACACTGCAGCACAGAAGAAAAACTCTAAAAGCATTACCACATTTGGCCTAATTTGAGATGGAAACAAAGTGCAAACTGGACACTCACCACTGTCTCTACAAGTGGTCAGTTAAGTCAGCAGCAAATTTTGAATGACTTTATGGTGTCTATTAGAAGCTTCTTTTTAATAAATAAGAGATAATGCGAACAACACAACTGAAGTCTATTTAAAATAATGACCTGAAAAATCAGCAAGTCTGCTTCCTGCACCTTCTTTTGCTCTTCAACCAGATCTTTGGACAAACCTCCCCTCTTGTAAGCTTCCCACGTCTCCACACCATAATTGAACGCTTCCGAGTTGTGCAAGCGACCTGTGGGTAGAAGTGAAGTCATTCCTTGCCCTGGGTCCAGCACCAAGCCAGATAAGACTTAACTACAGGTTGCCATCTACAGCTGTAAATGGAGTCACTGCTTTCCGTTTTCCCCACTTCCTTTTCTTTGGTGGATATTCAGCATTGTCACATCTGAAGGTGATTTGATTTTAAAGTGGAGAGGAATGTAGAGCCTCGGAGTCCTAAACTTTCACCTTCCTGTAGCAACATTCCAAGAGCAATATGAGAACCTAAGCCTGGCTCAGAACTCTGGTGATAGAGGTGGATGATTTAAGAGAATTGTGCTAATTGTTCTGCCTCTGCCT